CTTTTTTTTTTTTTTTTTGTGCCGGCTCTCTCTTCCCTCCCTCTCCCCTCTCTGGCCTCCTTTTAACCCCAGATAATCCATGGCTGGTTTGAGCAGGGCTCTGAGTGCCTGTGTTGTGTCTTGGGAGTGCCGGGTGAGGTGAGAAGCCGTGGATGTGCTGCCTTTTCACAGCCGCCCACACCCCCAGCCCAGTGCAGCCCAGCCTGTGCCAAGCCTGGGCTTCTCTCCCCACTTCGTCACCCCTCTGACATTTCCACTTGTTGAGCTCATCAGTGCTCCCCTCCCCCGCTCTTCCTTGGGAACACTGCCCATCCTGGAAACCTCCAGACCCCTGAATCCTGGGGTGGGTGGGTTCTGCTCTTCTCTCTGCATCCCTCCCTCCCCTCAGCCTCTCCAGTGCTTGGATGAATTCCTAGGGAACCCCAGGGGACAACAGGCAAGGTTCTCAGAAACTGGGTTCATTTCTGGCCCGTGTGTAGTAGGGGATGGAGGAGCATGTTTTGGTGCATGTTGGGAACCATGACTTGGGTTGGCAGGCCAGGGATGCAGGTTTGTGTTGGGTCTCTAATAAGTAGCTAAGGAGGAACGGGGGGTCCAGGCCGAGCAGCTCAGAACAAAGAGTTGGAGGGGACTGGTACCTTCGTCTGGCTTGACATTTATCTGTGGCATTGGCTTACTCCTGGGTGTGTTTAAAGCTGTGGGTCTGGATAGGAAGTGTGTGTACGCATGTGCGTGTGTGCGTGTGCGTGTGCGTGTGTGTGCGTGTGTGTGTGTGTGTGTGGCTTCTTTATTTAGTCTTACGAATAGCAAGATTTATTTATATCACGTCTTTCCCTAGTCTCAGAGGAAGTGTCTGGGGATTGGAATATGAGAGATCTCTTGGAGCTAGAGCTTATTAATTGTTCAACTGATTACTAGCTGCAAAGTTTATGAAAGCACTTCTTTCACCCCCGTGGTTCTTACAGCAGCCCCACTGAGTAGGTGTCATTACCTTCTCTGTTTTGCCAACAAGCCTACCCTGCTACCCGTGAGTGTTGAGAAGTTAAGTAACTTGCCTGGGATCACACAGCTAGTTAGTGGGAGAGTTAGACAGAACTTAGATCTTGCATGCAAATCCCAGTCTCTTTTTGCTGCTGCTCTGGCAGATGTGGGCCTTCAGGCTGACAGCGAGGAGGAAGCGGCATGGGGTTGGTCAAGGTCTGTGCACTCTCTGGCACCCTTTCCCCCTTGACTTCACCGTCCCTCCCACTCTGGAACACACTTGTCCTTGAGATTCCTGGCAAGGTTCAGTTTTTAAAAGGAGGACTAGAAAGAATGGGCTAGAACCACATCAAAAGTGGTGCAGGTGAGATGTCCGAATGACAGGGCAGAGTAACCAGCAGTGTGGGTTTGGGGAGAACAGTGCAGGGTCCGACGGCGGAGGGGATGAACGTGGCCCTGTTCGCAGCAAAGGGCTGAGAGCGGTTCAGAGTTAGGTTGAGATGTTGCGTCTCTGTCCCTAAGTATGTCCCTAACACACCCTTGTTTTGACATGGGGACACTGACAAACATCCCTGATCCCATGGGTTGCTTCCAGATAACTCTGTTAGGAGGATAAATGAATGGATTTCACATCCATCTTATCCCTGTATACCTGCAGTTGCCCTGACAGGCATTTTCATTTACTAGGTGGATATCAGTTACTTGCTCTGTGCCCACAGGAGGGGAGATGGATGTGAATATATCTCAGTCATACTGCTCGTTCTCAAGTTGCTGATTGATGATTTAGAGTTGTTGGAGAAAAGTTAACTTTCCAAAGCAATTCAGCGTAGCCCTTAACATAATTGGCTCCTCAGCAGCATTTGACCTGGTTAATGATGTTTCTCCTTGAAATCCTCTTTCGTTTTTGGCTGCCCTGACACCCTACTCTTCTGGTCTGTTGCTCATCCAGTCTCATCTTCTTACCCCTCAGCCTGCCTTTTTCTCTGGCCATGTGTGCATTTTGGAATTCTTGGTCCCTTATGTAGTCTTTTCCCGAGGTGTGATCTTGGTGGCTTCTCACGTTGTCCATGAGTTATAAGGGACTGAACTCAGGGCCTTCATACCAACCACACCCTGCCTTTTTTGGAGACAAAGTTTTGATAAATTGCCTAGGCTGAGCTTAACCTTTCAGTCCTCTGGTCTCAGCCTCCTAGAGTGCTGCGGTTACAGGCATGTGTCACCATTCCCCCACTCAGTTCACATTCTTCTGAGTCCAGTTTTTCCCAAGCTCAGTGCCTACTGTCTTTAAGCCATGAGTGTCACAAGTGGGAAACAAAACTCACCGCCCTCCTCCCCAAACATGTTTGCGTGCCATTTCCCCCACCTTCTTTATGGTGTGGTCATCTCCTTTGCTTGGCTAGGGACTCTTAACACTTCCTTCCATCCCAGCCATAGGTCTCATTGATCCTAACACCAACCTCCATCTCAAACATGACCATTTTACAACTCCTGCAGATCTGCCCCAGCTAACGTCACCACCAGATCTCCTTGCTGACTCCCTATTTCTCCCTTTCCCTGCATTTCAGTCCTCATCGTTGTAGCTAAAATAGGTTTCCCATTGCAGTAGAATAAAACCTGGCTCTTCACTTGGCCTCTGGCTCTCTCCCGTCCTCAGCTCTGGTTCCCCTGGCATCTCTGGACCTTAAAATACACAGAACTCTCTCCTGCTTTTGGTTTTCCTGCATATGATTTCTCAACTCTGTGGGCTTTTCCTTCCTCCCATAGGCTTTTTCTCAGGTATCATTTGTGCAGTGAGACTTTCCAGAACACTCAGTTTCTTTTATTTAAACAATTTTTATGTTTGTGAGCCCGTGTTTGCGGTACATAATGATTACATTCATCATGAGGAGCCAGTCCATGTACACAACACATCTTAATGCATCCTCTTCCTTTCCCTTCCCTCCCCAAAACACTCAATTTAAAGAACCTCCATGAAGTTGTCTCTCACGGATTCCTGTCCTTTTCCTTCCTTCATGCTGATGTGGTCATTCATGTTTATCTGCTTTCTTGTTTGGAGTGCATCTCCTCCCTAGACTGTAAATGAGGGGTTTGTCACAGCAGTGTGTACCCAGGGCCAGGCAAAGTGTGTGTTCATAGAAGGTGCTTAAAACAGGCTTGGTGAATCAGTGAATGAACATAAGAAGTAAGTGTGCAGTGTGTGATAAAGACTGTCAGTGGGGTTAGGGTGTGCGGGGGACAATCCTGTGTGTCTGAGTAGCAGAGGCTCCTGTAGAGGTGGGATGGACTCCAAAGGGTGATGGGTGGACTTGGGCAGGGGGAGAGGGAGAGAGCACCTGCCCCTGGGGAGTTAGAAGGTGAAGTGTAGAGGAAAGAGGGTGCTCCTCAGCCCATAAGAAGCCAGATAAACCTGTGCCTTGCCTGTTCCAGGGCTTCAGGCTTTTGGAATATGGTTCTACTTATCTTTTACTCCTCCCTTCACCATATTGCCAGTGGTTTCCATTCCTTGTCCCACCACCTCCTATGTGCATATACCCATACCCCATCCCCCAAAACCTTGAGCAGCCAGCCTAGCCTACTTGGTGACAGAGGGTGTGGTTGTAGTAGGTGCTGGAGAGATGGTGCCATGAGTACCATAGGCAGTACTTGCTCTGGGCACACCCACAAATTAAGAGTATGGGTGGAAAAGACCCGAGTTCAATCCCTGGTACCAAAAAAAAAAAAAAAAAAAAAAAAAGTATGGGTGGAGGAGAGCCCTGGAATGTCTAAGTGGGAGCCAGCTGCTTTCTGAGGTCTCCATTGGTTCAGACTCTCAATCTGGCTAGAAGCAGCCATTGCTGGGCCTCAGTTTTCCTGGCTGAAAATAGGAAAGCACTACCCTGATTCTCCTCACCATGGGGTTCAGGATGGGTATTCTGGGTGGCTGTTATCAGTCAGCTTTCCTCTTCATGGGACAAAATACCTAACATCTGTAATTAAAGGAGGAGAGGTTTATTTTGGCTCATGGATTCCATGGGTGCAGTCCATGGCTGATTGGTGCCAAGGTGGAAACAGCTTGGTGGAGGGTCTGGCAGTGAAAAGCCGCTGGAAGCAAAGAAAGAAGGGAGGAGCTGCGGGCAAGAATATACTCTTCCAGTTCCTGCCCTTCAGGCCCCACCTCCTAACAGCACATTCCCCTATGAACTCATCAGTGGTTATTGATTCACTCATGAGTGTAGTCCCTGTGATCCACTCACCTTCCAAAAGCCCCACCTCTCAATATGAGACTCTGGAGGGATGTTTTCTTTTATTTAAAAAAAAATCTAGTTTATTATATTAGCATGTGTTTTCAGTACATAGACAGTACATTCATCTTGGGGATTTGACGCATATATATAT